GCACGGCCCCGGGCGCGGAGGCTCCGCGGCGCTGGCCGGCAGCCGCAGGCACCGCACGCGTGCCCCCGCAGGATGCCCGCGCCGGCGCGCCTCTGTTTACTACACGTACGGAAAGGGCCGGGAGGAAATCCCCCTTCCCCCGTGTGCTCCCGGCCTGCTGCTCTCCGCGCTGCCAGAGGCAGAAAGGCGGTGTTGCGGAGGCCGCTGGAGGGTTCCCAAAGTCCCGCGGTTCTCGTCTCAGAATTAGAGTTGGACTCCTTGGGGTTTGTTTGGAGGGAGCCCCGCAGCAGCTCTGGAGCGCGGATTCCCTGTGGCCGTATCCCGGGCCAGCCCTTCCACAGCTCAGGACTGCGCAGACCGCTGCCGTGGGCTGCCCGGTGCCCTCCCCGTGCTCCCCTCTCTCTGTCACCACGCGCCCGGTCTCAGCTTTCCCCATCTCCTCATAAATTCACAAGAAATGTTTTCCCCCGCGCCAAGGAAAAAAAAAAAGAATGAACGTGAAACGCCCACAAACCCAAACAAATTGCTGAGCTTTACATGTTTTCCCCCGCGTCAAGGAAAAAAAAAAGAATAAACGTGAAACGCCCACAAAACCAAACAAATTGCTGAGCTTTAGAGGCAAAGCAGGTTCCCCATCCCTGTTCACCTGCAGCCCGCCCTCTTGGACTCTCTTAGTGAGCTTGGCAGCTTGGACGTGTGGGGCTGCTCTGAGGGGACACTGACACCGGAGCTGGTGTTGGGAGAGGCAGCAAGCTGCAGATAAGGAGTTATCCAGGATGAGTTGGGGAAACTGTGGAGGAAAATCTGAAATAGTTCTGCTAGGCACAAAAAGGACATTGCGTGGCCATGGACTACTCGAGCCAGTAATGCACTAGCCAAGATCTCAGGCTGTATTATCCTATAAGATACACTGCACACACCCACACTTGGAATGAGAGCCCCCATCCCGACACCAGTGCTGGGATGTGATTAAAAAAATATCCTGCCTCCAAGAGCTGCCGCCGTGCTCCTATGGAAGAAGTAAGCAAAGGGGGGACTGAGGACACGAGCACGGATGGCACGCCATCCCAGGGCCAGCCTGTCAGCAGAGCAGCCCTGCGCTCTGGGGGCAAGTGCTGCGCTGAGCAGATGTTTGATTGCTGCAGCAGCCTCAGTCAGACACTCCTGGTGGGCACGGGCAGGGTTTACAAGTCCACGAAGGGCAGCGAGGCTGCGGCCAGGGCTGGGGCGGGCGTATCGCGCAAAGGAGGTGCAGGAAGGAAATAACAAAGGAACCTGCATGAGAAGCACGTGAGCTGGAGCAAGGCCAGTGTTGCTGGCAGGGCTAGAGGGATCTAGTTAACAGGATATGGGAGCAGCAATTACAGCCATTAAAGATGGAGGGTATGGCTTGAATGTCAGATGGACGGGGTTAGGGAACAGGGGTTTTTGTTTGCGGTTCCTAAGTGTTTGTTTCTAAATGAATGGGAGATGGATGCATTTACGTGTACACAAATCAAGTGCTCTATGTCCTTTTCATTGCTTTCTATTCCTTTGATTTGTTTTTCTCTTTTTGCCATTGGGCTGTATGTAAATTAAGTAAGTTATTATATAAGTAGTAACAAAAAAGTGTTTTAATTCCAGTGAGACATAATCAGTTGCTTGCTAGAAAACAGTGTTGGATTCTCCTTAGGAATCCCTGTGTGGTTTCTCTTCAGATCTCTAGAGCTGGCAGAGTCTGTAAGCACTGACATTGTTATTCTGGTCCATAACTCTATCTGGCTTTTCCCATGATTTCTTATTTCCTTTTCCCCAGAAATGACTTCTACGTGACCATAGGTCATGGCTGCCTGCCTGTGCAAGGAGATTTTATTCCAGGGTAAAACTAGGCCTATTATCTTCATTATTGCTGTTCTTAAAACAGCTTTAGCAAAATGTAGGGACCTGAAATGTGTGGGTAACTGCATGAAATGCTGGCAAGCAGTGGCATCTCAGAATTAGTGGAAGTGTAGTTTCTTTAGAAAAAGCTGCTCTTTGTTCTTTCCCAAGCACGTCTTCCCCTTCCGCTGTCACTCCCTGAGCTGGCTTGCTCACTCAAAGAAGGGCAGGCAGCAAAGGAACCCGTGTCAGGACCCCGGGGCTGGAGGAAACAGAGGTACTGACAATGCCAAGGGCTCTTCACAATGAAAGGTGTTTGAAATCACAGAAAGCGAGGCCATACCAGGGGTCTGACACTCCCCACACAGTTGCAAATGGCTGGGTCAGGCCTCCACCTCAAGATTAATTCACTCTTCTGTGAATTTTGTTGTGGCACAACCCTGTTTACGCTCCTGGACTTGTAAACGCAGCACAACTGATGACAACAGTTTGATCTTTGTTTGTGCCCTATTCCCTCCTGACTTCAGCACTCAGTGTGGCTTGGCTTGTTAGGGATGAGTGAGGAGTGAATCCGAGAACCTCCGAATTTCCAGCTAGCTCTTAGGCTGCCTTGCTGGGGACAGCATACATCTGTCCCGTTTCATTTTCTTCCAACAGGACCACATTTGGTAGTTACAGCTTTAGGAGCAGTAAATATAAACATATGCAAATGCTAAAGATTTCACCCTCATGACTTAGCAAAAAGATTTAGGGAAAGATGAACTGTGCCAACAATTCATATCAGGTGAAAACAATATGTGCCAGGAAACACAGCACAACAGTCCCAACCTCTGCAGCAATCAGCTGAAGCCTGGTGCATTTGAAATGGCTGTCTAGTGAAGGTAGAGTGCCACCTCACCTGATTATAGTTAGCAAAAAACTAGAGCTGCCTTCACAGGAACCCGCTCAAACTGCAGCATATTCAGAGTGAAAAATAATTTTCCAAAGACATTGAAATGTTAGTAAAGTGTTAAATGTTAGTAAAGTGTTATTTCCAGTGTTATTTCTTCTCTGATACAAGGGTGCAGGACGTTTCATAATCACAGCCCCACTAGGTCTTAGACTATCCACCCAAAGGATTTTATTTTTAGTGGTTTATTTTTGGGCTGTGTAAAGCAAAATTTTCCTTGGACTTCAGCATGTGTAGGCAATAGGCATAGAAACATGGTGGGTATTGGAGTCTGATCCTGCAAAATTCAGTGAGAGAGGTTCTGTGCCATTGGAGAGGTTCTGTGCCATTAGTTCACAGCCCATCTGACAGATCCCACAGGTTGATCTAACCTGTGTGTGCTTCTCACTGATCCATGGCACCTCTTGGTCGGCCCATTGATTATTTGATTTCTCACCACGGATGTTCCAGCTGCACACGTTGGCACTGAACGCTGAGGTTCGTTTCACGTGCACAATTAATCGCCATTAGAAGTGTGGTTTTTGAAGCTGGGCTCCGCGCTGCGCACAGCAGCTCGGGCGCGTGTAGCTGCCTGGATTTACATCCCCGCCGTCCCCAGGGAGAGCTCGCTGCTGCCCTGCTGCCGCACGGCTCTGCCGGCCGTGTCAGCATGTGCCGCTAATGGTGCTGCGGTTGGTATCGATGGGAAAGCGGCTCCGCCGGGTCGATAGCAAAGCAGCCACTTAGGGCAGCGTTTTCCGGGTCTGGGCATCTGCAGTGCAAGAACGGTGATCAAATGGTCATCAGGGGCAAACTGCGGGCCCAAACTGGGGCTGAGCAGACAGACAATTTCAGATCTGCTTCCAAAAAAAGAGCTGGGGTGAATAATTTTGATTAAAAGTACTTTTGATTTTTTTCATAACTGTTTTTGTGAACATTGCTGGGCCATTTTGTTGCAGCTTGAAGCAGACAGCAAGCTTGGAATATTTTAGTCTGG